GTACAATGTCTAATGTGAAACATCCCGATGGATGATGGCATCGTCATCGTAGACGGCAGTGAATTAATTCTGAATAATGAATTAATTCATCACAAATTAATTTTTTGTATGCTCTCGTTTCGACTACCTGACCCGCATGGTTTTTATTTTACCCAGAACCAAATAATAAATAAATAAAGATAAGTTACACACAAATTACCACCTGCCAATCACTTTGTTTTTTCTGTGGGACTCTGGCATGAATAGGAGTGACCTGTGTCATTATAATGGCATCGACACACTTGATACATGCATGAAAGCAAAAGATTGATGGTAGATTCAAAATAGATCCGAAGAGTCGTTAGATTGAGACAACATTAATTAAATATCCTGTTTAACAACTATAGTGAGACGAGATGCAGCGGTACATCCTTGATAAACTGTCTGACGTCCACTGCTCTCTGAAGTTTTGTGCTCAAGACAGCTGGAGCTTAGACGCGCACGTACACTGCAGCGCTGATAGTGTGTTTGTGTGTGTGCGTGGTCCTGTAATGTGAGTTTTCAGCTGTATAGTGTGGAAGAAGGGTTTTTCAGAAATGCTAGATGAAACGCAAGTGTGGATGCGTTTTAAAACTAAGACGTATTAGTGTAAACAGGGCCTAAGTGTGTAGTTTTCATAAGCAGGATGCTGCGACGGGGGCAGGACGAAGGATCACAATTCAGACTCAGCATCGTGATGCCTATAGGCCATCGGATATCGACCCAACCCTTGTGATTAATTGTAATTTGTTCTTGAAATTGAAAATTAGTTTTTAAAATAAAGCTAACATAAGTACTAAGTGAAGTTTTATAAACTAATTTTGAGAGGACCACGTGAAATAATTGAGCACGGCTGAATTTACATCCGTAATCAGTAATAATCCACTCAGATTGATCCAAGCTTACAATTAATAGACCGATTTTACCCTACTGCCTTATCTTCGTTTTGGAAGAATCCCCACTTCCACCTTCCACCAGGAGGAGACCTTTTCTACCCTTTTCTAAGGGGAGCTCTCGAAACCTACCAGTTATCAACTATCTTCGAGCTCTGGGTTCTTTCCCAGAACAGCATGCCAAGCCAGCTATTAACGCCAATCAAGTGTGAATGCTTAAACTACATTTTGTACATGACAGGTGCCTTTTAAATTAACTAATAATTGACTAACAATCGTGTCACTGTTCCATATAATCATCTGTAATTGAATTTAATTATTCAGTTTCAATTTAAATTCACAATCTTTTCATAGAGATTGAACAATTACATATCTATGCAGCTAACTATCCTTTACCATACTGCACAGCAATTTTCATGCTCTCAAGTGACACTTAAATTCCTTTAGCCGTTCTTCTAGATCTCGGCTAATTCGAGGATGCTGAAGGGGGGGAGACCTCTGCAGACACTCTGGAAAAGTTACGAAGACGGAGAGCCCAAGAAGCTCCATTAGCCCTTATTACAGAGAGCTCTCCGGTCTAATGGCCGCTCCTGTCTAATGGGCATCACAAAGGCCTGTAATCAAAGAACCACAAACTCCTCTTTGATTTCGCATCCCTCTCCATCCAGCTTTTATCATTAATTAGGTATTAAAATCCATCTTTAAAAACACGAAGCAGTTGATTTGGACAGTGCAGCTGTGCAGAGAGAGAGAATAAGATTGTAATGGATGATAATGGAGTGCAGATGGCGCAAACTTAGAGTGTAGTGTAGACACCGCTGTGCCGAGAAGAGAGGAGTCTCACATTACCATGGCAACATTTACCATCACTGTCGGTGAGCGGAGGGCAACGAGCCCACCATTTTGTAATACAATCCACAGACGAGGCCATGATAAGCCACATCACAATTGGGCGCTAATAGATCGAAATATCTGTTATTGCACAACTATCGCTTTCACACAACGTGCCTGGAGTGCCCTTGAGCAGGGGGTGGGGGGGTAATTTAATATGCAGTGCCAGAATCAGTTTTAACCATATCAAATTACGCTTTTATTGTTGTGGAGGCTAAATCACAGCACGTAAAGTCACGCACGAGAAGACGGGACTGAACTGGCCTTGGCAAGCCTGTCAATCACCCCGCTCAGCCTCCTGCTCTGACATGTAATTACAGCGCCACCGTAATTAGAGCTCACTGTCAGGGTCTGAATGATGCCTCGGAGTGGCGTTGGAGAGAGAGAGAGTGGTGAGAAAAACCTGCAAGTTGTAAAGGAGAAAAGCATGTCCACCTACACGGCGCTCATCTCCCCTACCGATTCTCCCCTTTATGGCCCCGTTCCATTTGCCTGTGGGTTTTCTCTGTTCACACAGACTTATTGACTGACTCTAGTCTCCCAGGCACTCTCTCTCATCCTGAGCCACAGCACATACACAAAAGAAACGGGCCAATCACTTTATGTCTGAAAGCAATTGAATTGTGCTAGGCCGAAACCCTTTGCCGGTTCGATAATGTGCGATCCAGCCACGGGCTCATCTTTAAGTGCCCTGGTCTTAGTCTGGAGGCCTCTTTTGCTTGAGAGAGCACCGAGTTCAGTTTAGACCAGCCTCGTTGCTGTCTGGGTCACTTATTGAAATGCCACTTATAATGTTTTGGATGGTAAAGGAGAAACGGAGCCAGTGTGTACGAGAGGAATAAAGAGAGAGGCCGAGAGTAATGATGTAGACGGCCAATAAAGGCACAGAGATAAAGCACAACACACTGACCCAGACAACACACACACAGTCAGTCTGTCGGCTTCAATCTGATTGCACCAAACACTTCCAACACTCTGAGCCAATGAATCTTCATGACTTCTTCATGACCTTCCAGGTTGTTTACGATTACCGCATAAGGTATAGACCAATTTCTGAACTGAAGCGTCATTTGCTGGAAAATCAGACACCCATTTCCAAGCAAGTTTTACTGCCTCAAAACAACATTGAGCGTATTCATTAATCTAGAGCACAGAATAGCACAACATGCTCAATAAAAAAACTGACCTGTCAAGGTTTTTCCATAACAGAATATTAAAGTTGCACTCAGTAATTTGTTCCTAATAATATACTTACTTATTTACTCCCAGGACCATTTATATATCGAAGTTGATATTTAGCTGCACCATGTTGGTGTTTCGTAACATCAAATTTTTTTTTTTTTTTTGAGGTGGGTCATTGGCCCAATATTCAACCCCAACCTGGAGGACCAGGACATACACACATACACTACGGACAGTTTAGCTTAGCTAATTCACCTATAGCACATGTCTTGTGAGGGAAACCGAGAAAACTGGAACACCCAGAAAACCCATGCGAACACATGGAGAACATGCAAACTCCACAGAGAAATGCCAACTGACCCAGCCAGGGCTCGAACCAGTGACCTTCTACTGTGAGGCGACAGTGCTACCCACTGCACTACCCGTTCTGAATTCTATACTTTACTTAAAAGTTAATTTAAAATATTTAAATAGCCATAGATCGTTTAGCCATAATGATCAACTGTGTCTAAATAATGAGCAAGGGTGTTCTGTTTCAGTCCTAGAGGGTCACTGTCCTGCAAAGTTTGACTCCAGCTTACCTCAGCAAACCTGTTTGAAAGTTTCTAGAGGTTTACTGGTCCATACTTGTAGCCAGTTCAAATGCGTTTAATTATTGTAGCAGCTGAAACATGCAGGGCTAGTATGGGTTGGTATAAGTTTCTGATGGTATGATAATCTTGAATAAAAGTATCACGGTTTCACGATATTGTGCTGTAAAATAATTTCGTTTTAAATTTAGTAAAAAACAACAACTTCTATCTTCATCAGCTTCAAAATCACAGATTTCCTTTCAACACATTAAAACCACTTAAAAACCCTTTACATATACATTTTAGTAGTTTCTATACAGGGTGATTCAAGAAGAATACCACAACTTTCGGGTTGATGTCACTCAAGTGTCTGGAGGGGGTCATATTGAACATCTATGAACTTGTTTTCTACTGAAAAAAACTTTAGGTATTCTTCACATTAATTAATTAACCAAGGTTCCATCAAGCTTCTTTGATTAAACACAGATTTTCAAAGTTGTAGTAATCTTTTTGAGTCACCCTGTACTTTGACTTTTCCAAACCACGGTAAACCTTAAAACCGGTTATCGTCAAATGCCTATGCAGGACAGTGACCTTCCAGGAGCAGGATTGGTCCCCCCTTTGTGATGAAGATGTTAACAACAAAAATAATAGTAAGCTATCACACAACATACTAATTTATCTCAGGGCCTGTTTACACCTGATTTTATGTTATTTAGAAGGCAAAAAGTAAATTGGATATAAAATATTTTGAGCTTGTTCACTGTTAACCACTTCAAGAGTTAGTCAACATATCTGACCAGATTGCTTTAAACAGTTTCTTTTGTGCCAACAAGTGTATTATTTAAACTTTATGGGGCAGGTTGGCAGCATGCTAGCAAGTTGCTAGGGTTTAAACTTTGTATTTAACATCAAAGTTGGTTTAGAGGGAAAATAAATGTAGAAAATACACATTCTATTACTAACCTTTCCTGAAAAAAACCCCACTGCAATGGCACAGTAGAAATTAAAACTGCTGCTCTACATATTGTTCTCTCTATTCATCTTTCATGTTCATATATAAATTTCACAAAGTTTATTTCACAATAATAGACTAAAAGATTAGAAACCTGATACAACCTCCCACCCACACATCTTTCTGTATTAATAAAGAAGTGGTTGAAAGTGGACAAAATTAACCAACAAAAACACCAGGAAATATGTCTACTGGTGATGCAATTGCCCAAAAAGATCTTATCAGGTGTCAGAAACAGGGCTGGAGTAACCAATGGATAAAACAGCCTCTTTAAAAAGCTGTTGTGTGATGTCTAAAACAATCATCACTGAGTGCATCTCTGAAATACCATGTTGATTATAGGAATCCAGCAATTTCCAATCACATCACATTCGAAAGAAATAGATCAAACACCCAGCTTCAGCCTTCGTAGATAAAGGTGTCGCTGACCTGTGGAGTTGTGGTCTGCTTGCCCTGGCGGTTGGACGCCGTTGTAGTGGTGATGTCAGTGATGGAGGGTGACGTTTCTGAACGATTTCCCGCAGCAGAGACGCTGGACTGTGGCGTGATAGAAGAGGAGGGCATGTCTCCTACCAGCCGGGCACTACCCTCCACACGCACATTAGGGTCACCCTCAGCGGCCATGTTGAGTACTTTTAGCCCATTGTAGTAAAGCCCTGAGAGCTGACCCTGGAAGGGCCGGCTGCCCTTCTCCCAGCCTCCAATCTTTATGGTGGTCTGACTGTTGAAGATGGTGAGCTGCCGACCTGCCAAGGGAGAACGTTACAGAAAATACAAGAGTGTTCAGAGGCCCACTCCCCCACGCCATCCAGAAGCACACATACACATGCACACGCTAACAAACATGGACGCAAACACACGCACACCAGAAAACAGAACTGATGGAAGTCCTGATGGTAAAAACACACAACAACCGTAACCTTATTTTCCCTGGGGATCATGAAGCAATAAATTACACTAATGCTAACAGCAACACTGGTAATTTATCGACTGTAATTTAATGGCTGCTGTTGGCACAAAGTAAATAAATGAAGGGGATGAGAAAGCTGTGTCCCAAAAAAATAACAAAAAAAAAAAAAAAAGAAAAAAAGAATGGGACTTTGCTAAAAGGACAATCGTATAAATACTGGAATGAGAGAGAAAATTATTCTTTATCTTAAAAAGAAAAATTCCCCTTTTACGTGAAAAAAATTACTGTTAATCTTAAAAAAAAAAAAAACAGCTTTAATGCAAATGACAAAGCCTGTATACACAGGTCTGGTAACGTTTATTGAGATTGCCTTTCAGCAAGGGCAATGACAATTAAAATTAATTAGACTGAAATAAGGTTTATGTGAGAATGGCTTTATAGCTACATGACACATTACAAATGATTCATCATGTTTATAATTCCATTGAAAAGAGAAAGCAAGAACACAAGCAAACTTGAAAACAATCAACTTGGAAGGATTCAATCTGTTACATACATTTGAGCATGCATTCAAGTCTTTTCCCTTCAGGTGTGTTTAACTTGCTTGTTAAAGGGACTTCATATCTGATGCCAATAATCATTGAAGCTATTTAAGAGACATTTGCTTTGGGTTTTTAACTGTGCACTTTAGCAGTTTCCAAAAGAAATGTTTAGCATGGCAAGATATGCAAGATATACATACATTAAATAGAGTGTGTACATCATTATGAATTCACATAATTCCCACTGTTATAAACATGTACTTTATTAATTATTCATTTAGATTATTACAGAACATTATTTAAATTAAACAGTATTTTAATGATGTAAACATATTTTGTTAATGATTGAACTAACTTCAGTTATCAGTATATTACCAGTCCCTTTAACCTCTGACAGGTTTACAAGTACAGTATAACAACACATTATTGAACTGTACAGTGCAATATATTACATTTACTACATTTGTTTAATTTTTAAACTTGGTTATACAGGGGATTTATGTTTTAGATGGTTTATTTGCTGTGCAAAATATCACTTGCTTATGATCAAATTATCTTTTATTTAAAGTTTTAATCAGTGTTTTTACCTTTGTCGAGTAGCCAATCGTCAACTACTCGACCAAGCCGATATGGGATTCGCTGTCTAGCAATCGCCAGGCGTTCGTTATCAATGTTGCCTTTAAAGTTTAAAGAGACATTTCATTGTTAAAAATCTGAAAGGTCAAAGATTAAAACCTACAGTGAAACATATGCCTTAACTGTCTGTTTTTTTTCTTTTTCCTCTTCTTGCTTACATTTTTTTTTATTCGGAACACCAAGGTTGCATACATCAATTAATTCTTAAAATTTAAGCCAACAAATTAACCCTATTTTAATAGAAGCACTTTGCTACGTTAAATATGCACCTACTCTTACTGTTAAGAGAAATCAACCAAACTCAATCACGTTTAAACATCATATCACTTTACATAAGACATTTACAAAATAGGAATCTTTTAAATCTTTTTAGCAGATTTTTCATCTAGTTAAACATGACAACTAGCTCATTTTAATCGAAATATTGTCATTACAGTACATAGTCCAGCGTTTTTGCAACCAGTTTGATTTTAGCTTCACATTTGCTATCTAATCTAAGGTATTTTTATATGATCAATTTCACATTATCAGATCACAATACATTTAAAAAACATCAAAGTAGCAGAAAAAACACTCAAAGGATTAAAGCAACAGGAAGATTATCAGTTCATCAGTAAAGCATGCAAAATCAGTTCATGTGAATGTGAAACCGCCCTGACAAAAGCTTCGACCTCAGAGATGTCCGTCCGTATGTCGTTCCCTACGGTGGGCGCCATGCGACCTTGAGCGGATGCTGTGCTTAAATGTGGATATTTATGCAACATGTCCAGGTTGAGCCAGCTACGCTAGTGCTATTGAATTGAGATAATTTGAAAACATTTACTCCTCTCCCATTACAGCCCACACATAATTACCACAACCGACTTCACTGGGAAATTCAACACGGACCTGACTTGCTCAGATTTCCAAAGAGTATAATTACGCCTCACAATTTTTACCCTATGAGCCATTAACTTGTTATTTGTCAATCAAAAACGAGTCTCGCTCTCGCTGCAAGCGATTAAAGTACGATTAAAATATGAACGGTATGAAAATGTTTCCTCGGCATAAAAAGAATAGTGTAGCAAGTCAGCTGGAGGGCTGTGATGTGAGAAAATTACTTGCAAATTTACATTCTAATGTCTGGATTTACATGTAAATATGCACAAATACTGTACACTAAGCGTAAAACTGACAATTTATTCAGAAATGAAAATTCTCATCAGACAGACTATTCATGACTGGTTATTTACAGTGAAACACAAAAGGAGCATGGTATAAACATAAGCAATCTTTTTAACTCTTTATTTTAAAACAGAAAGACTGGTTTCAGTGAGACTTTCCTATAGTTTTTCAAAAGGTGTGTGGTAAACATAACTCAATGATACTTTGCCATGCCATATAAATGCATCATTTGATTTCACATATATAAAATGTAATATGCACGCGTACACACACACACACACACACACACACACACACACACACACACACACACACACACACACACACACACACACACACACACACACACACACACACACACACACACACAAAAAAACACAAACACACAGTAACAGTAAAACTCAACAGTCAACTTTATCAAATGAAATGAGTCATTAACTCAAAATTGACTGAACGTTAATTCTACTCATTTGAAAAGAGTTAAAGGTAATGAGTTATTTAAATAACTCATTACTTCGACTTAAATGAAGTAAGTTCACAGTACTAACATTGATTTGTTTTTTAACTCAAATGGATTGTAGCAATCAGTTTCCTCAAATGTTTTGAGTTGCCTTATTGAGTTTTACAGTACTCAGTTGATTTTAGTTCTCTTCATGTATTGGGTTTTACTGTGTTCAAATTGCTTTGTTTACTCAAAAGGATTAAGTTCACAGTACTGATTAGGATTAGTTTTTGAACTTAAATAGTTTGTTGCAATCGGTTTCCTCAAATGGTTAGAGTTACCTTAACTCTTTTTGTGTTTTACAATGTGTATATCTCAAACAAGAACAAATCTATACATATGTTCAAATATATTGGCTATGTCTAGGTTCACACAGAATCTGCGAGCAATTAACTTGAGTAGATTCATATTTATTCAGTTTTTATATTCATTTCAGTAATATTATTGACTAACATGAACATGTTCATACGATTTATTCACAATACAGTTTGTAAATATAATTTTCTGTCTTGAAGTAGATATGATATACAAGAGATTTGCTTTGTTTACTAAATAAGTGGATCTATTTGGACTTGTGTTGTAAACATTAAATAAATGTTAAAAAAGTATTTTTTATTACATATACGTTTTTAGTTATGATACTCTTTTTACAGAATTCTTCACATAAATAGCAAAAAATGTCTGCAGATTCTGTCTGGCCCTAGCTATGTCACATGTTCATATATAAATATATTTCTGTAATATATTTAAATGTATTTGTAATATAATTCAAATGTTGGGAAAAAAGCAGCCAGCCATTTTTGTACTATTTAGATATGTTGCATTTATAACATATTTTAAACATGTAAAATCCATACTTATGTCATAGATGTAATTTGCACATATTTTGATGTATCAGATTTATACTTGGAACAGAGTAAAGCAAAATATTAAACTCTCACAATCTAGCTTTATTCTGAAAGCTGAATAGGAGCTATTGGTGAATTAGTTTTCACGTGTTTGACGTCTCTGTTGAAGCACTCTATTTGACATTTTTTGATGATAGCTGGATGTCAGTTTGCTTGAATTATAAGACATTACTATGACTATTATCTTTTGATTTATACAGGAGACAGTCACAGGTTTGGAGCTCCATAAAAGTTGAGACATTCGGGTGAATTATTTCTTTGAAGCACCAAAATTGTATCTTATACCACCTTACATTGGTATGACTGCTCTAGTCGACTGCACTTTTGAGGCAAAGCTCTTTATGCTGTATCCGGCGCTGAAATGGCATGACTAAATTGCTTCTCAAACACAGTACAATACTGTTTTTGATAGGTGATTGCAGAAGGAGAACACCCGCAGACAGGGAAATAAGGCTTCCTCTGGGCTGCACATAAGGACAGATGAAGTGCTTGATTCTGGACTTGAGTTTGAGATTGTCGATATAACGTCCATATTATATAAAAAGCCAGAAACTCAGTCCATTACTTTGAATTTCTCTTTCTTTTTTTACTTACATTTGTTTTTTCCCCTATTCTTTAATTCTCTCCGTTTCTTACCCCTACCATGTGCAGTCGGGTCTAACTGTGATTTATGTCTACTTGTGCACTTTACCTAGAGTAATCAAAAGTGAAAGGAGTAATTTGTCTCAAATCATAGCTTAAAAGAAACAAGACAGGAAGGGAGGGGAAAGCAATAGGAGCTCTTGAAGCAGGATGGACTGAATGACCAAGGGCGAGTTGTGTGCATGATTGCTTGAATGCACATAAACGTGCACACTCACCCCCACCCACTCATACACACGCAGTGGTCATGTTCTGCTTAAATGAGGGGGCAGTTGCCTGCAGGCCTCTCGGTAAAGTGAAAATGACTGCCGAGTTAGCTTAGCATGCTAACAGCCTTTCTAAGTATTAGGCTTAGAAACGATTCTGCTTTGAAATAATCCCCCCTCCCAGGAAAAAATAAAATAAATAAATAAAATCTGTGCCTTTATATCTGTTCTGCATCGGTTTGAAATGTTAGGCAATACTCAGTGATTTTCAAGGACAGCATCAACACATCAATTTATCCCTCCGCCAGTCTAAACCTCATGCTGTGGCCATTTTGTGCCCAGCAGTAGCTGGTGGCGGTAATTCTGTCAGAAACATTACCGGAACATTTCGCTTTTTTTATACTAAATATGGAAAAGGTCCATTTAAGAACTTTACGTCTGTTTTTAAATCACTTTAGATGGACATGAAGCACACAGGTGATTTTAAAGGCACCTTTTATCAAAGCGCCTTTAAAAATGTGCAATTACTTCAGCCGTCAGAAGCTAACAGGAAAAAAAATGTTATCGCTTTTGCTGAAAACGTTGAATGTTGTAAAGCTGTCTTGGTTTATTTCACTCTCAATCCATCCCCTAGCAGACTTCAATATTAAAGGGTTATTTTGCTCAAAAGTGTATTTTCAGCTCACCTCATACTTTTACAATCTTTTACTCACCTTCATAGTATCTCATACCTGTGTGACTAAAAATCTTTGGCTAAAAGTGTCCAACATTTTTTGACTGCCAAAAGAATCCTTCAAATATTTTCTAAAAAATAACCATTTATTTCTTATAATGTTGAGTATTTTTAATATAAAGGTATAATGAATCTTTTGTGGAATGGAAATAATAATTGGGTAAGGGTAATAATTTAGGAGGTTTAATAATTCTGACTCCAACTGTACAAGTTATGAGGTGCTGTGTACAAATGCGAATGAGAAACTATTGCATTATATTTTTTGTTCTTTTATTCCTGTTTACGTAAAGCACTTTGAATTGCCACTGTGTATGAAATGTGCTATATTAATTAAACATGCCTTGCCTATATATTGTTATAAGGTGCTGTGTACAAGTGCGTATGAGAAAGCAATTTAATGTCAAGAAAACTTCCAGAAATAGACCTTCAAGGGATAAGTTGTAGTTAATGAATTTAAGTATTTTGGCATTACCCTAGATATAATTTAAAATTTGATAGTCATGTTAAAAATGTGTAAGAAGGTTAAGCCAAGCCTAAACTGTTTTCGTTTCATTAGAAGATTTTTTTACATCAAACTGCAAAATTATACATGCACACAATGATATTTTGTGGAATAATTTACCTGTAAACCTAAAATTAGAAAGTATTGAAAATGTTTTTATTAGTGTTTTTAAAAAGTGGTTAAAACAAAACAGCAGTGTTTGCACAAATAGTCTACTATTAGTTTATTTGTTCATGCCGTTTTTGCTTTTGCCTTACAGCAATATTATGTAAAGAACTATAATGTTGTGTATTTGTATCTATTAGGGTTAAGGCGATACCATTAATAAATGTAACAATACTAGCTGTATCATGATACCAAGCTGTATTGTAATGTACTGTAATTCATAACTTGTCAGAAATACTCCATTTATGCTATTATGTTATAATAGGCCTAATTGAATTAAATTTAAGGCCAAAAAGTATTATTTTCACCTCACTTGACCAAAAATTTATAAATTCTTTTTGTATTTTTGCTGTATTTTGTAGATAACTGACCGACAAAAAAATACAATTAAGTAAAGATTAAAAAAATATACCAAACTAATTTTACAAAAGATAAATGAATGTTACAAAAGAGCATTTTTTCTCAATCTTATTAGATAACAATCCAAAGCAATCCAAAATTTTACTTTGTGAGTCATTCTTTTGAAGAGATTGCGGCAGTTGTTGTAGCTACTAAATCATATTAACAGGAACAGAATTGAACCGATTTAGATGTGCGTTCGAACTGAAGTATTAGAAAATGTGCAATAGGCTACCATAAAAGGTGCAAATTCTACACAGTTTTGCAACCTTAAAGGGCTCCACAGACTAAAACTTATTTATTGTTGAGCATTTTAGTGACGAGCATTAATGACGATACTACCGTTTGCAAACTAAACTATAGTGGCCCCGTCAGTATTTTTGAGCCATAGTATCCCGATACTACCATAGTACCTGTAAACCGTGCAACCCTAGTATCTATTTTATTTTCATATAGTCAAGCCTCCAGTAGACATTTGGTTGTAATTGTGATTGTAAATGAGTAATTGTGATCTTCATATTAAATAAATAAATGTATAAATATATAAAAACTATGCAAAATGCTCTCAATAAGCAAACAAAATATATGGATTTAACCAGCAACAAATATATAAATGAATTTTACAAGACAGACTATAAAAACAACATTCACATTAAAAACAACACATCTCTTAGTTTAGCATTTCTATTATTAAGCTTCTACATATAATTACTACTTACAAATATAATTAGCTAGGTGAAAGAATGACAGAACAGGTTAAGAGAGAGAGGGGGGAAATCAATATGCATATATAAATTAAGATTACACATTTATTTGTATTCAAAAGCTATAGTAGTTAGAATTAATTGTTCAAGATAAACAAATTGCCCTTTTTGTTCTCCCTGTGCCTGGTGGTCAATTTAAATTCTATGCATTTATTATCTCATCTAATGCCGAGCCGAGTCAATCAAGCACTGATTAAAATGAAGCGGTCATGACTAATTTTCTTTTCTTTCTTTTTTTTTTATTTCACCAGAAAAGTTTCTTCCATTCTGCCACAGACATAAGACCCATTAGTATTCAGGCAATCACATGTGCAGTGCTCACTAAATCCACCGACATAATGGAAACGGGAAGCTGAGAGAAAATGGCACATTTACAATGGCTCCATTTTAACAAGCAATTGTCTTCCACTCTAAATGAAAGACGCTGCTGGTATTTGGGTTGTTTGTTTACACTATAACAATGAGAGGGTCTCGGCTGAGGTCAAACAGCACCTCTGTGTCTCGGTTTCTATTGCTATTCGTCTGTACGCTTTACGGTTCTGCTTCCAAGAACTAGATTTCGTTTCAGCACACGTCCTAGTTTGTCTAAGCTGTTGTAAACACAAAATGTCAACTCTTGGATTTGGATAATCCTGTTAAGATTCGTATTGTCCTCCAAATTAAATAATACAAAACGCAATTCGACACAACCCATGTATCTACAGCAGAATCTAGTGCGTCTCTTGAGTATACATTAGCATTTTTCCCCGCACACATTAACGACGACCCGTATTGAGCGCAGTGATGAGCAACGGACGACGGCGACGCACTTATGGGAAGCATGAGATTTTCCGAGGTTCATTACCACTTGAGTCGTCAAAAGCTCAACATTTACCATCAACAATCTCTCACGTCTGCTTCTCTGGAAGTTTGCGGAGATGAAGAACAAATAATCTCTGTAATGGAAGCGATGGTTTAAGAAGAGCTTGAAGTAAAATACAAATTAAAAGACTAATGCAGCCGCCTCCTTTTCATCATGATTGACAAACGAGAGCAATGGGATTATTTCTCATCTCTGATCTCTTGTCAAGCTTTTGTCAGGGCTTTTCAGGCGACTGAGAGGCTGGTGAATTTGATAACCCTGGCTCTGACATTTTCAGCCTTCTAAAGCCCCAAGAGCAATCATCTCTGCTGACATTTGGAAAGGATACCAGGGTTACCTTTTTTTTTTTTTAACTGTGAGAAACCACAATCACAGACAAAGGCATTTTGTCCTTAACCCTGTGATTCAGATTCTTTTTCCTGAGCTCTGCCAGCCTTTTATTGTTCCCATTGTGCATAGCTGCATGACTGAGATTGTGTGTCTGTATGTATGTGTGTGAGAACATGCGTATAAAGGCTTGGGGCTCTTACCTGATGGGTAGCGCTCAATGACTGGCAGATCATCCACCTGCAAGGTGGCGTTACCACCACTTCTCGTAAAGCGAACTATGTGGTACTTTCCATCATTTACAAACTTTGAAGTTTCTTCAATGTTTATGTCATCGGTGCCCACATTGAACACCACTTTGATATTGCCTCTTTCCTGTAAAGATAGAGAGGGAAAAAGGAAGAAAAAAACAGAGAGGGGGAGATAAAGGATGAGGACTTGAAGATTACATCATAGTCATTCTGTTCTGATTCGCTCCGCCAGCATAAAGCGGTCAAGTTATATGCGTTGGTTTATTTTAGCACATTAACAGCACACTTAATGAACGTCAGCAACCTTTCGCAGGACAGTTTTTGATTATTAATAAAGGCCCTCATGAGGAGGCAGCTATACTCCATCTTAACTGGCAGAATAACAGATGTACCGTATTTATTGAGGACCAAACAAGGTGATAGTTTATCAGCCCGTTCACAATTTCTCCTGACAGCACAATGCATCAGAAAGATTTACCGCCACTTGAATTCGCCAGCGATAGGCGGCATTCATATTTAATAACAAAAATATCTATAATTTATATTTTAATGAGACTATTACATGAAGAAAGAGGATATTAACAGGAAAACTGGCAAGCGGTTCGCTTCATTTTAGTAGTTTTGCAATCCTCTTGGGATATTAATTAGCAAGGATATGTTTGTTATGCCTGTGTACATTAAGGGAATGTTTCGGATTTGGTTCAGATGTTTAGTAAACATAATATAAAATCAAATTTAGTATGTGTTATTGCATTAGCTATGTAATACGCTAGTGATAATGTACAGCCAGGCAGTCATTATGACGAAATAAATCCTGACAGGCTGATTAGCACACTACCGCACAGCTGGAGAGTCTTGTATCATCCTGAAGTAGATTATTTAGCATTAACAACCGGCTAACTGTACATTATCCTGCTCATTACATGATTACTTGCCAATTAAAAAAAACGTAAATGACATCAAATATTGATTTTAGCTGAAATTATTTAATCACATGAGAAGAAAACAGATAATGCTGAGTGATGTGATGTGACGTTGCTTTATGCTATGTTAACAGCTCGAGGCTGATTTTACCAAGTAAAAACATTACACAGCTTCCTTTTTTACATTTAGGTCAAAAATGTTTAATAAATGGCCGCTAAAATGTTTAGCACCCTGTTGTGAAAGCAAGCTGAGATCCTGCAAAGCTGCGCTAGTTTCATTTCTCTCATATCACCCCATGCTCTCTTTCTTCAAACATTGTAAAATGATTGCAACTCAGCTTTGTGTGGGGTTCTGATATATATCTAAACATCACAGACGGAAAGACATAAACTCACATGCTACATTTAGGGCAAAAGAATATTACCAGCAGCAATTCGTAATTTTAAAGGGGGTGGCATGACTGCAGCAGATGTCAAAATAAAATTTACTGTGTCACACATTAAGCCTTGTAAACTAAATAATACTACTTTTTCATTCCCGTTCATGTTCAAAAGTTTCTCAACAAGCCTGCAGGCAGATAGCATAATCGAATCACAGGAAATCACAGGAAAAAAAAATAACCTTATAAGATTTTTTTCCCCTTGAAATCAGCGCCTCAAGGCAATATGCTGGTCATACAGAATAATGTGTGACAGTCTCACTGAAACGGAATGTAATCTGTATTCTGATGCAGCGCTTGTCATTTTCAGTGTAAATTCTCATCAATGTGTGTTTCTGTCTTATTAAAGCAAGCAGTGAGAGAGTGAAATCACCCTGTGTGCTTCACATCCACACCACTAGATGGCCTCAATCCTTAATGATTTCCTTGTTGATGCAGAAGCTCAGTGGGTGGGCTTCACTTTTACTAATTACAATGAAAGGTATTCATGTGCAAAGCATCTCCTCTCATGAAAACAACCTTCTAATAATACTCGCTGGATCCACTTGCTGCTCATCTTATATAAAACAGCAACAAAGCCCACTCTGTGCTCAACTCGATGACCTGCATGCCTACATGCACTGCTTAGTTAACCAAAAAACTTGTTGCAAACTTGTTACGAATGCTATTACATGAGCGCGTTCAATCGTGAAAATGGTTATTTGACATATTCTCGACAGATGGAGGGCCATTAGCTTAAAAACACTGCTGTGGGAACGTGCGGTCCTTCCGATTGATTTGTCGCAGATTGCAAAAGCTACATGTGGCATTTGAAAATAATGAAATGAGGTGTGCATGAGAAGATCCCTCAGCGAATTCCCCTAATTCACACCTATCTGCGGGAGGAGAGCAAGCGGAGGACAAATCGCAACACCAGACTTCATTATACCCTCCCAGGAGATGTGTGTTTTTGTCTGGATACTATCAAGCCTTCTTTTCCTGTCACACACACACATGCACGCACCCCATGTTGTCATCTCCAGCTGGGGCGAAGCCGGATGTTTCTTCCGCCTCTCACACCCCATAATGAAGACAGACTCTGGCCGTTAGCCCTATCCTCTGCCTATTACAGGGAACAATGGGGCAGCGTCTCCTTCACCCTCGTCTGCGCTCTCTATCAGCCTTTCTTCGGGGCCAATCTCTCCCTTCCTGCCCATCTTTTCAGCTTAGTGGTCAGAGAAGTGATGTGAGAGCTTGGCCTGCTCTCCAGCGGGCTGTGACACTCCACGCCCCCTTCTAATTGGAGACCGACCTCTTGTTCACCCTTCCATCCAGGCGGTCCCATCGGGTTGCTGACCTCATCCTTCATTTGGGGTTAGGCGACTGGGAGTAACACCAAGGGTGGCAGGCCTTTTGAAAACTCGGAAATGACAGAGTTGGATCAACCAAGGGGGAAACAGGGACTTGCTAATGAAGTCTGTAAGCATTTTTTGAAGGAAATTCTGACTTGGACGAAGGGGGCTCAAGACCTTCGCAGGGGGGCTTTTTTAAAGTGGGCATAGTTTAAGAGAAACACCCTTCGTCCTACATTCAGTCCCGGGTGTGATAATGTCCCAGTTTTGCAGAATTTTCTGTTTAAAAAAAGAAAAAGAGAAGAAGGAGGCGGTTCTATTATGAATGCCTCAGGGGCTAAACATAAGGGAGGGAAGAGCAAAATTGAGCCGTGACACCAAATCCCAGATTACCACAGAATAACAAATGTTTTGGGTGATGTGCTCAGGATTCGCTGTTTGCTAAACGATCCCTAAAGTGAGCGAGGGATGGGGTGTGATTTTAAAAGAAGGACTTGGTTCCGCACGGCTACGTCTCGGTTCGTCTTGTCCGTCGTGTCACCTCTCCATCGAGGCCTGCAGTGCTGCTCTAAATATAAAGAACTAATACAACTGGATTCTCATTAGACTCAATGGGGGTTGTTATAGCAACACTGCTCTCTAGAGTTCTCTCGTTTCTTGTAGGCAATTAGATGACAACCACCGTGCCACCCTGATTGACAGAACACTTCATCTACTCTGGAATGGAGACGATCTCCCCTCGCTAGGCACAAAAATAAGATTGTTGTTCTGAACTTCTGCATGTGGATTTAAAAAATAATTTAAAGTAGTTTGGAGAAGGGTTCTTTCTGCTGCCTGTTGGTATATGCGTTTCATTACTTGATGCAAAACATTTAAAGTTTAAACTTTACTGACAGATGTCACCCTACTTTCCCATTTTTTTTTAACAATAGCTCAATTAGACAACTTCTACAGTATTGTTTTCTTTTAATGCTACATTTAATATACATGAACTAGATTGCACACATTTCCAAAACTAATCTGAATGTTAAATAATGCTTAATTAAAAAAATGGGTTTTATTTTGTAGACATATTAAGGTTAGTTGGATATATTTTGTTTATTACACTATAAATGGTTTTATTTTATCAATGGCTAGAAGCATAAAAATATGTTTTCAGAATACAGGCAAATTAAAAAAACAATAAATATCTCCAGAATAAAAAACTTTCAGAATAGAGAAGTAAAAGAGATAAATAAAAAAAACTTGTCAACAACCTTCCTTTTGTGAAAACTGTCTTTAAAGATACTGTATAAGTCAGAATTATTAGTCCCCCTTTGATTTTTTCTTTTTAAAATATTTCCCAAGTGATGTTTAACAGAGCAAGGAAATTTTCACATTATGTCTGATATTTTTTTTTCTTCAGGAGAAAGTCTTATTTGCTTTATTTTTGCTAGAATAAAAGCAGTTTTTATTTTTTTAAACACCATTTTAAGGACAAAATTATTAGCCCCTTTAAGCTATACATTTTTCCGATAGTCTACAAAACAAACCATCGTTATACAATAACTTGCCTAATTACCCTAACCTGCTTAGTTAACTTAATTAACCTAGTTAAGCCTTTAAATGTCACTTTAAGCTGTATAGAAGTGTCTTGAAAAATATCTAGTCAAATATTATGTGCTGTCATCATAGCAAAGATTTAGTTATTAAAACTTATGTTTAGAAATGTGTTGAATAAATCAGGGAAAAATAAACAGGGGGACTAATAATTTAGGGGGCTAATAATTCTGACTTCAACCTTATGCATGGTATTAAAATCTTGGCTACAAATACAGTAGATATGTTGCTGGTCCAGCGTTTGGAAGCATTATGATTTCCTAGTGTTTTTGAAAGTAGTCTTTTCTGCTCACTAATGCATAAATACAATAAAGAAAATCATTATTATTAAATATTATATCAGCCCAAAAAATCTATATCAAAACATTTTAAAACACAACTTACTAATGTGATGAAAAAGCGACATTATTAAGCATTATTATTCCAGTCCTCAGTTAATAAAGGGTAAGATATGTATATATTTTTTATTTTATCAGGAAAGAATTGATCAAATGATATCAAGTGAAGTGATTTATAATGTAACAGGATTTTACATCAGGGTTTAAATAATTACACAAAGCTGTTTTCAACAATTTTAACAATGAGAACTGATATTAATGATTGAGAATCAGTGACAATAGATCACAACATCGCAAATTGATTGTCATGATCAGAGTGATTTATATAAAACATTATGTGAGACTGAAGAATGTGATTCACAGAAATAAAACATGTCCACATATAAAATAGATATTTTAAACTAAAATGATACTTATTGAAATAGCATATTATATACACCGTTATATACACAAACAACCTTAACATTAACTCTAAATGCTTCCAATTTTCAAT